TGTGCCATTGTCCTTGGCTTCTCATCAGCCTTCATTGTCTTCCATGTTCAGAGAGTCTGGTTTTATCCCATGCTTATTCAGTCCCAGTCCAGCTGGCCTTGGTGAGCTTCCAATAGATCAGCCCCACTGTCTCTGTGGGTGGGTGCACCCCTTGTGGTCCTGACTCCCTTGCTCATGTTCTCCCTCCTTCTGCTCCTCATTTGGACCTTTGGAGCTCAGTCTGGTGCTCCAATTTGGTTCTCTGTCTCTATTTCTATCCATCTCCAGATGAAGGTTCTATGGTGATATGCAAGATATTCATCATTATGGCTTTAGGATAGGGTCATTTCAGGTTCCCTCTCCTCAGTTGCCCAAGGTACTAGCTGGGGACATCTCCCTGGACACCTGTGAGCCCCTCTAGAGTCAAGTCTCTTGCCAATACTAAGATGGCTCCCTTAATTAGGATATATATTTCTCTGCTCCCTTGTCCACCCTTCCTTTATCCCAACCATCCCATTCCCCAAGCTCCTTCCATCCTCCTCTTCTCACTTTTATCATCCTATTTCCCCTTGCCCCCATCCCACCTCACCCCCAAGTTCCCAGTTTTTGCCTGGCAATCTTCTCTACTTCCCATATCCAGGTGGATTACTACATGTTTTCTTTGGGTTCACCTTCTTATTTAGCTTCTCTAGAATCACAAATAGGCTCAATGTCCTTTTTAATGGCTAGAAGCCAATTATGAGTGAGTACATTCCAAGTTCATCTTTTTGGGTCTGGGTTACCTCACTCAGGATGGTGTTTTCTATTTCCATCCATTTGCATGCAAAATTCACGATGTCATTGTTTTTTTTACCGCTGAGTAGTACTCTAATATGTATATATGCCACACTTTCTTCATCCATTCTTCTATTGAAGGGCATCTACGTTGTTTCCAGGTTATGGCGATTACAAATAATGCTGCTATGAACATAGTTGAACAAATGTTTTTGTCATATGATAGGGCATCTCTTGGGTATATTCCCAAGAGTGGGATTACAAGGTCTTGGGGTAGGTTGATCCCGAATTTCTGAGAAATCGCCACACTGATTTCCAAAGTGGTTGCACAAGTTTGCATTCCCACCAGCAATGGATGAGTGTACCACTTCCTCCACAACCTCTCTAGTAAAGGCTATCATTAGTGTTTTGATTTAGCCATTCTTACAGGTGTAAGATGGTATCTCAAAGTTCTTTTAATTTTCATTTCCCTGATTGCTAAGGAGGTTGAACATGACCATAAGTGTCTTTTGGCCATTTGAATTTTTTTCTGTTGAGAATTGTCTGTTCAGTTCAGTGCCCCATTTTATATTGGGTTAAATAGCATTTTAAAGTCTAGCTTTTTGAGTTCTTTATATATTTTGGAGATGAGACCTTTGCCTGTTGCAGGGTTGGTGAAGATTTTCCCCCAGTCAGTGGGTTGCCTTTTTGTCTCAGTGACAGTGTCCTTTGCTTTACAGAAGCTTCTCAGTTTCAGGAGGTCCCATTTATTCAATGTTGTCAAAAAGGACAATTTTTTTAGTAGATACCATTTACCAAGGGTAAGTCAAGATCAGATAATCATTGAGACAGCTCTCTAATCCCCAAAGAAATAGGAGCCAACATTAAAAGTCTCCCAACCAAAAAGACCAGGACCAGATGATTTTAGCATAGAATCCTACCTATTTCAAAGAAGAGTTAATACCAGTACTCCCCAAATTCCACGAAATATATTCAGAAAGAACATTTCCAAATTCTTTTTATGAGGTCAAGTCATTTTGATTAACAAACCACACATAACAATCAACAAAGAAAGAGAATTACAGCTCAGTTTCCTTTGGGAACATAGATGGAAAAATACCCAATAAAATTTACAAAAGGAATCCAAAAACTCACCAGAGAAGTTATTTACCATGATGTTGTGGACTTCATTATATGAAAATCTGTCAGTGTAACCCACCAAATAAACAAACTGAAAGAAAAAGAATCCACCTAATTATCTTATTTGATGCTGAGAAATTCTTGGAAAAAAATCCAACACTCCTTCATAAATGTCTCATAGAGAATATAAATATAAGAGACATATCTAAACATAATAAAGGCACTCTACAGCAAATTGAATGGAGAAAACCTAAAGCAATTCCACTAAGATCAAGGACAAGACAAGGCTGCGCACTCTCACCATATCAATTCCTAAAGAGTTCTTGAAATTTTAGATAGAGCAACAAGAAAACTGAAGGAGATCAATGGGATATAGACTGGAAAAGAAGAACTTGAAGTATCACTATTGGAAGATGATATTATTGTATACAAAACTGAGCTCAACAACTCTACCAGGGAATCCCGAGAGGTGATAAAAACCTACAGTGAACTGACTGGTTACTAAAGTAACTGAAAAATAAGTAGCCCTCCTATATACAAATGATAAATTGGCTAAGAAAAAAAATCAAGGCTAAAACACCCTTCACGTTATCCACAAATAATAGAAATTATCTTATTGTCTGTCTAAGTATGTGGTTTGAAAGGAAATGTCCCTCAAAGGGAGTAGAAGGTGTGGCTTTGTTGAAGTAGGTATGGCCTTTTTGGAAGAAGTGTGCCACTGTGGCAGCAGACTTTTGGTCAGGTTTTGCTTCTGTGACAGACAGTCCATTTTCTGTTGCCTAGAAGATGTAGGACTCTCAGTTACTTCTCAAGACCCTTATCTGTCTGTACACCACCACGTTCTTCACCATGATGATAATAGAGTGAACCTCTGAAACTATGAGTAAGCCCAATTAAATATGCTCCTTTATGAGTAGACATAATCATGGTTTCTCTTCATGAGAGTAGAAGCCCTAAGACACCAAGTAAATGTTAAGAACTGCAAGTCTTTGAAGAAAGAAATTGGAGAAAGGTATCAGAAGATGGAAAGAATTCCCATGCTCATGGAACAGTAGGATTAATATAGTAAAAATGGCCATCTTACCAAAATCAATCTACAGATTCAATGCAATTCCCATCAAAACTCTAACACCATTCTTTATAGAACTTATAAGAACAATACTCAACTTTGTATGGAAAACAAAAACTCAATATAGCTAAACTAATACTGTACAATAAAGGAATTTCTGGAGATAACATTATCCTTGATTTCAAGCTCTACTATAGAGCTATAGTAATAAAAACCATATTTTATTGGCAAATAACAGACAGATATTTCACTGGGAAGAGAGGAGTAAGAGAGGAGGGAGGGGAAATGTGGTCAGGATGCCAAACAAACAACAACAACAACAAAGTAGTTTCAACCAAGTCATGATGTACATTTCTTTAAATTATTGTCTTAATTGATCCTGGAGGGCCCAGGTCACTGTGGACAGCATCATTCCTAGGCAAATGGTCCTTGGTTGTAAAGAAAGCTAGCTGAGTGTGGGCCAGAGTGTGAGCTGCAAATGAGTCAGCAAGTCATATGTTTTCTGCCTTAAATTCCTTCAGTGCTACAATATAGCACAGTACCAGAAAGGTAATGGACTCTAGTCTCCCTCCTAAACCGCTCCTTTTCAGGGTGTTTTAATAACAACAACAACAACAACAACAACAACAACAACAACAAAAGAAACGTACAGCACAGTATAGGGAAGACACATCTATTTGACTCAATGTGATTTGTACTCAAGACCAAACCCCTGAGTACTCTCTGGGCAAAGAGAAGGTGGGATTGAGACAGCAGTGACTGGTCTGAAAGTGCATTAACATTTTATTATATTAGTGTCTTCTGTTTTTTTTTTTTCCATCCAGGATTTCTCTGTTTAATCCAGCTGTCCTGAAACCTGTTCCATAGACCGGGCTGGCATGTATCTAAGAGATACATTTGCCTCTGCCTCTTTCATGCTTAGATTAAAGGTATTCAGCACCATGCTCAGCTGTGTTTTGTCCTTTTAACTTCAATAGAAATGTCCTAGGACTTTTCCTCTGAAATTTCCTGGGCACAAGCTTCCTCCTGAGAATTCCCTTTCTCAGGATTCACACTACTTCCAACTTTAGTCCAGGGCTTTCCAGGACAAATCGGGAACCCTGTCTAGACCTACAGTAGAAGGAATTAGGAGTCTGAAAGAGCACAGTGAACAGGATGAGAGGCCCTGCACCCCACTTGTGTTGAACATATTAGGTAAGGACTCATTTGACTTCTTATCCATACTTACTGTAGCCCTGAGCATAAGACTGATCGTTGGTCTCCAGGGGTCATAGCAGAGCATTTGCTTAATGCTTTGAAAATTGTTTTCCTGAGCCATGGCCTAGCAGACTGCTTTTCATTTCTGTCCCTACTCACCTAGAGCTCTCTCCCTAAATCCTGCTCTGACATACTGGCTCCCTCCTTTGTCTGAGAACAACTTTCTGCATGGGGACTGTTAAGGTCTCCTCCCTCCTGGCATCTCTCAAAGGGAAAGATATGATTATCACCAGGAATCACTTAATAAAGGGCAAAGGTGACCCAGGAAGATCAAAGAGGACATTTGTACACCCAACACATAAAGTTAGAATGTTGCCTTGAAACCCTCCATAGAAAGATGAAGCCCACAGTCCTTTCAAGGACAAGCAGGCCACCTCTTCAACAATGCTGAGCACATGAAACTCCTCACACAACTGCCCCTGGGCCTCTCTCCTGAATCACTAATTTACTGGTGACATTAGTGATAAAGGATTGATCTTCATCCCTAGTCATCACTCAGCTGGTCTCTTTTCAAGCCTCAGAGACATTTCTGTCACCTTCCTTCAGAGATTAAGTAAAAAAGGTGTAGACTGAGTGTTCAGCTCGGTCTCTGTGTCACAAGGACACATAGGCATGATGGATGCTCCCTGCTTTGTGCTGACAGACCCAAGGCAAGAAAAGAGCAGATGTCAGCTCCAGGATGAGCCATTGTTCCTGAGGCCATGGGGATGCTTATCAGCCTTGTTGCACAATTTGTGTCTTGGTGAAGGAACATAAAGGGAAGTTGAGAGGGATGCAGGGCACCATTGAGAGTTGAAGGGATTGAACAGTGCCTTGGACTCAAACCCCACCACTCACAGTCCATTGGATTCTGAGAAGTGCTTCTTTCTGAGAAGAATCTCAGCCCAGAAGAGGAAGAACAGCAGAGCCTGAGTTCTGTGTTGGAGCTGAGGCTCTTCTCCTCAGACGGAGGACAGCAAGTGACAAGATTGATGGAGTCCTCTGTGCTTCTCTGCAAGGGTTGTACCACCTGGCAGAGGCTTCTGCTCACAGGTAAGGGTACCCACTTCCTGATTGTGTGCGGAGGGGGACTCAGAGGCAGGCTGGAGTTTCCTAAAAAGGAGGACAGGATCTTGGGAGGAGACTCAAGGTTTCTGTTTACAGCTTTTTTGCATAAGGTACAGTAAGGGATAGAGGCTCAGCATCCAGAAGCTCTCAGAGGACAGGGGGTGATGATGGTAAGAGAAAAGCCTCAAGCACTCCATATTCACAGTGAATTTCATTGGCTTAAATGTTACCCACTCTGACAGCATGACCCTCCAAATAGAGATCAAGTGGGACAGCTAGTGAGATGTCTCAGTGTGGGAAGATATGACAACATGAAACCAATCCTCAGCTGCCACACAGTAAATGGAGAGAACAGATTCCTTCAGGCTCTACTCTGCCCTCCCCATAGGTGCTGTGGCATGCACACACACATGAATATGTGGCACATGTGCCCAGCACAGATTTGTGGCATACATCTTCATATGTGTATAAGAAGACACATTACATTGGGGTTTTATGGTCAGAGTTGATGGGCGATAGACTAGGTCTCTAACTATTTGTGTGCTATCCTTCAGTCAACCAGCTGGATCTCTTTCTATCCACGTACTTAATTCCCCACATTTCTAAAGGATCTAGCTGGTTGTTTCCAGTCTCACCATTGAGGAGGGAGCTACCAGGAGACCACAAGGAGACACCAGTCTTCACAAATACATACCTATATTTACATAAGTTAATCTAAAATCATTTATTTCACACTTAAATATAATTATTACCCTAAGCTCCAAACCTAGGAACTCTGAAGAGAAATTCATAGAGACACATTCTTCTTTTCTTTATTCTGTTATCCACTGTGCCTGGGTTTTTTCCAGGACCTGAACTTTCCAAAAAAGATTTGACTAATTCTATTTTTTAAAAATTCCTGGTTCTGATGGGTGATGGTGTCTTAGGCGGTTAAACCCAGCAGTAGGGAGGCAGAGGCAGGTGATCTCTGTGAGTTTAAAACCAGCCTGGTCTACAAAACAAGTTCTAGGGCAGCCAAGGATACACAGAGAAGCCCTGTCTCAAAAAACTGAAACCAAAACCCAAACCAAAAGATAAACAAACAAACAAAAAGCCCTGGTTCTAGTGGACTTGATGTCAGTAAACCCTAAAGATGAATTCATAGTTTGAAGAGAATCACAAAGGGAACAGAGAAAAAATCAGAAAATGAGGACTCTCCAGAGAAGGAGTTCAGAGAGGCAGTGACCCTTACATATATACTCTATGTGAAGATGGATAAGGGACACCGAGTCAGGGAACCAGACAGACACCTGAGCAGAGAAATCCTAAGAGGAAACAACTCACTCTGAGTGAATTGAAGTCATGTTGCTTATGTCTGCAAATGGGGGTGAGCACACCCCAACTCATACACCAAAGCTGAGTGATGACCACACCCATGTATTATTGGTGCTTTTTCTCAATTGCCTTCTAGCCTCCCTCTTAACCTTCTGGCTCCTCTCCACCACCGCCCGTAAGACCACTGTGTCAGTGCCACCCCAAGTGGCTGAAGGAGATGATGTCCTGTTCCTTGTCCACAATCTGCCAAAGGACATTAAATCCTTAGCCTGGTTCAAAGGGCAAGGAAACACAACCAAAAAAATTGCAACATAAACACTGCACAATGATTTAAGTAGGCGAGGTCTTGCGTACAGCAATAGAGAGACAATATATCACAACGGATCTATGCTGTTTGAGAAGGTCACCCTGAAGGACTCGGGATTCTATACACTACAAACCTATAACAGACATGGAAAAAATGTATCAACAACATCCGTGATCCTCGATGTGAAAGGTAAGTGATTCACTGTGAATCTGTGACCTAGTTTGAACAATGGACACAGCTTCTCAGGACATAAAGCCTCATCTTAGACAAATACTAAATACCCAACTTAGGAGGATCTCTCTCTTCCCTTCTAGCTTACCTTTGGAAGTGTGGGCGCCTTTCTACCTCTTCACAGCCCAGGATTGAATCAGTGCCGCCCAGCGTTGCTGAAGGGAGAAGTGCTCTTCTACGTGTTCGCAATCTCCCAGAGCGTATTTCAGCCTTTCTCTGGTTCAAAGGAGAGAATGACTTAAAGAAGCAACTTCTGGCTTTCCACTATTATCCATTCGAAAAACCAGTTTTTTGGGGGCCTGCATACAGTGGAAGGGAAACGGTCAACAATGATGGGTCCCTGCTGCTTCACAGTGTCAGTCAGGAAGACCGTGGATTGTACATACTGCGAATTGTGATAGAAGATCGTAAAGATGAAGAAGCAAAAGTGCAACTCCAGGTGGACAGTAAGTGATTCTCTGTGAGTTTTCAGGGCTGGGTGGGGCTTAGACACACAGGACTGCAGTGGCGAACTTAGCCTCCCTTCCCTCTTGCACTGTGTCCTCGGGTGGAGGTTTGAGCACTTAGTGTAGAGACAAATGACCATAGGCCAGCTTCCATCTTCTTACTCTGTCTGCGTCCATGAAATCCTTGAGGTAAAGCAACTCAGCTTAACGTGTCCGATTCAGCCCTCAGTCTACTGGGACTCCAGACCAGGGAGCCCTGGGTCCTGTCATCTTTAATGGCTGGACTAAAGTGCCCCAGGGGACCATTTTCTATTACAATACTCATATCCTCTCAAACCTAATAAGAAACAACAGTTTTAGAACATCTGTGTCGAATTGGGTATTTATTATCTCCAAATTAAGAGAGACAGTAACAAAATACAGGACCTGGTAGAGAAGATGGGGGAGTGTTTCCTACTGACTTGCCCTTCATACTTGCTCCATCTGCTCTCTTATATCACCCAGGAGTCCTAGCCCTGAGCTTGAACTGCCTGCAATGGTCTGAATCATTTTGCCTCAATTTGCAATTAAAAATGTACTATAGATTGCCCACAGTGCAATCTGGTGGTAGCATACTCAACTGAGGCCTTGTCTTGTAAGATGACTGCTAAGTTGTGTCAAATTGATAAAAACCCATCCAGCCTAATTCCTAAGCCTTTTTAAAATTTTGTTTTCTTAATATTTTTAATATAAACTTTTCTCATTTTACATAGCTATCCCTGTTTCCATTCCCTCCCCTCCTCTTGCTACCCTTACTTTTCCCCTAACACACCCCCATCCAACTCTCAAAAAGTGTAAGGCTTCCCATGGGGAGTCAACAATGTCTGACACTTCACTTCAAGGTATCACCAAGGTCCTCCCCACTATATCGAAGCTGAGCAAGATATCCGTACAAAAGAATGTGTTCCCCCAAGCCAGTTCAAACACTAGGGATAAAACCTGGCCCCACTGCCATTGGCCCCACAGACAGCACAAGCCCCACAACTCACCCTCACATTCAGTGGGCCTGATTTGGTCCTATGTAGATTACACCGCTATCAGTCCAGAGTCAGTGAGCTCTCACTACTTCAGGTCAGTTGTTTCTGTGGGTATCACCATCATGATCTTGACCCCTTTGTTCATATTATCAGTCCTGCCTCTCTTGGGCTGGTCTCAGATAGCTCAGCCCAGTGCTTTGCTGTAGATCTCTGTATCGGCTTCTATCCGTTGCTGGTTGAAGGTTCTATGATGACAATTAAGATAGTCATCAATCTGATTATGGGGGAAGGCCAGTTTAGGAATCCTCTCCACTGTTGCTTAGTCTTTTCTGTCATCATCCTTGAGGATTCCTGGGAATTTCCCTAGTGCTATGTTTTCAATAGCCTTTTATTGGCTCTGTCAACCAAGATATCTCTTTCCTTTCCCTCACTGTCCTTCTCCCTTCTTGATCATCCCATTCCCTCATGTTCTCCTCCTTCCTGCCCTTCTTCCATCCCTTTCTCTTTCCACACTTCCTTCTTCCCCCTCCTAATTTCCTCACATCTTTTTAATTTTTTTTAACTGATTTTTATTGAGCTCTACATTTTTCTCTGGTCCCCTCCCTGCCTCTCCCCCATCCTTCAACCGTCTCCCAAGGTCTGCATGCTCCCAATTTACTCAGGAGAGCTTGTCTTTTTTTACTTCCCATGTAGATTAGATCTGTGTATGTCTCTCTTAGGGTCCTCTTTGTCTAGGTTTTCTGGGATTGTGATTTGTGGGCTGGTTTCTTTGTTTTATGTTTAAAAATCACTTATGAGTGAGAACATGTGATAACTGTCTTTATGGGTCTAGGTTACCTCACTCAAAATAACATTTTCTAGCTCCGTTCTTTTTCCTGCAAAATTCAAGATGTTGTTATTTTTTTCTGCTGTGTAGTACTCCATTGTGTAANCCTGTGATGAGTATGAAGTTGTAGTCTGTTTTGTTAGATATTAGAATAGCTTACACTTGCATGTTTCTTAGGTATATTTTTTAGAATATCTTGACCCAACCCTATACTCTGAGATAACGCTTTATTTGAGGTTGAGGTATGTTTCTTGTTTGCAGCAGAAAGATGGATCCTGTTTTCATATCCATTATGTTAATCTGTGTCTTTTTATACGTGAATTGAGTTTATTGATATTAAGATATATTAGTGACCAGTAATTGTTTATTCCTTTTATTTTTTCGATGGTTGTTTTTGTGTGTTTTTCTTCTTTGGGATTTGCTAGTGTGTGGTATGAGGTGTGGGGTTAATTATTACCTGTGGTTCTGTGGGCACAGCTAATTTCCTTGGGTTGGAGTTTTCCTTCTAGTACTTTCTATAATGCTGGATTTGTGAACAGGTAATGTTTAAATCTGGTTTTGTCATGGAATGTCTTGTTTTCTCCATGTATGGTGACTGAAAGCTTTGCTGGGTATAGTAGTCTGGGCTAGGATCTGTGATCTCTTAGTGTCTATAGCATACCTGACCAAGACCTTCTGGCTTTCAGAGTTTCCATTAAGAAGTCAGGTGTATTTCTAATATGTCTGCCTTTATATGTTACTTAGTTTTTTCTTTGAAACTCTTAATATTCTTTCTTTATTCTGTGTGATTAGTGTTTTGATTATTATATGGCAAGGGTATTTTCTTTTCTGGTCCAGTCTATTTGGTGTTTTGTGAGCTTCTTGTACCTTCATTGGCATATCCTTCTTTAGGTTGGTAAAGTTTTCTTCTATGATTTTGTTGAATATATTTTATGTGCCTTTGAGTTGGACTTCTTCTATCCCTATTATTCTTAGGTTTGGTCTTTTCATAGTGTCCCAGATTTCCTAGATGTTTTGTGTTAAGGATTTGTTGGATTTAACATTTTCTTTGACTGATGAATCTAATTCTTCTATTTTATTTTCAACTCCTGATATTCTCTCTTCCATCTTTTGTAATCTATTGGTTATGCTTGTATCTGTAATTGTTCATTTATCCAGATTTTCCATTTCCATACTTATCTCTTTTTGTGTTTTCTTCATTTCCTCTATTTCAGCTTGCAAGTCTCAAACTGTTTGACCTATTTGTTTCACCTGTTTGATTATTTTTTCCTTTGGTTTCTTTAAGAGATTTATTAATTTCTTCCAATTTTTTGTTTGTCCTTTTCTCTATTTCTTTTTTTAAATTAATTAATTAATTTATTAAAATTTTCCACCCCTCCCTCTCCTCCCATTATCCTCCCACTCCCTCTCCCTCTCAAGTCCTAAGAGAAGTCAGGGTGCACTGCCCTGTGGGAAGTCCAAGGCCCTCCCCACTCCATCCAGGTCTAGGAAGGTGTGCATCAAAACAGACTAGGCTCCCAAAAAGCCAGTCCATGCAGTAGAATCAAAACCCAGTGCCATTATCATTGGCTTCTCAGTCAGCCCTCATTGTCAGCCACATTCAGAGAGTCCGGTCTGATCACATGCTCATTCAGTCCCAGTGCAGCTGGCCTGAGTGAGCTCCCATTAGATCAGTCACACCATCTCAGTGGGTGGACGCACCCATCGCAGTCCTGACTTAATCGCTAATGTTCTCCCTCCTTCTACTTTTCATCTGGACATTGGGAGCTCAGTTTATAGCTCCAATGTGGCTGTCTGTTTATATCTCCATCAATCGCCAGATGAAGTTTCTATGGTGATATGCAAGATATTCACCAGTTTGTATATGGAGAAGGCCAGTTCAGGCACCTTCTCCTCTGCTGCCTAAGGACCTAGTTGGGGCCGTTCCCATGGACACCTGGGAACCCCTCTAGAATCAAGTCTCTTGCCAACCCTAAAATGGCTTCCTTAATTAAGATATCTTCTTCCTTGCTCCCATATCCACCCTTCCTCCATCTCAACTGTCCCATTCCCCCAGCTCTCCCCAATCCTCCATTTCTCCCTTCTCTCTCCCCATCTCCCCTTCCTCTCACCCAGCCCCAGCCCTGTGCTCAACTTTTGCCTGGCGATCTTGTCTACTTCCCAGATCCAGGAGGATGAATATATGTTTTCCTTTAGGTTCACCTTATTATTTAGGTTCTCTAGGATCACAAACTATAAGATCAATGTCCTTTGTTTATGGTTAGAATCCACTAATGAGAGAGTACATACCATATTTATCTTTATGGGTCTGGGTTATCTCACTCAGTAAAGTGCTTTTCTATTTCCATCCATTTGCATGCAAAATTCAAGATGTCATTATTTTTACCGCCGAGTAGAACTCTAAAGTGTATATGTGCCACACCCTCTTTATCCATTCTTCCATTGAGGGTCACCTAGGTTGTTTCCAGGTTCTGGCTCTTACAAAGAGTGCTGCTATGAACATATAGCACTGGGCATCTCTTAGGTATATTCCCAAGAGTGGAATTGCTGAATCCTGAGGTAAGTTAACTTCCAGTTTCCTTACAAACTGCCACACTGGTTTTCAATGTGGTTGAACAAGTTTGCTCTCCCACCAACAGTGGATGAGTGTTCCCCTTACTCCACATTCTCTCCAGCATAGGTTATCATTGGTGTTTTTGATTTTAGCCATCCTGACAGGTGTAATATGGTATCTTTAAATTGTTTTGATTTGCATTTCCCTGATTGCTAAGGAAGTTGAACATGACCTTAAGTATCTTTTGGTCATTTGAACTTCTTCTGTTGAGAATTCTTGTTCAGTTCAGTACCCCATTTTTTTTAATTGGGTTATTCAGAATTTTAA